ATTGATCTATGATTTTCCTTTCTTAAGATGTCTTTGGGTTTGGCATATGGGTAATATTGGCTCATAAAGTGTGTTGGAAAGTGTTTCTTCCTGGAAGAGTTTGTGTAGAGTTGTTATTATGCTTTCCTTTAATACTTTGTATAATTCCCTTGTGCCATCTGGGTCTGTACCTTGTGTGTGCGTGAAGGTCGTCAGCTACAAATTCAATTTATTTAATAAGGCTATTCAAGGTTTCTCTTCTTGAGTGAGATTTGGTCGTTTGTGCCTTTTCAAGGACTTTTTCAATTCCATCTAAGTTGTTGAATTTATTTGCATAAAGTTGTCAGTAGAATTCCATACTGCTTTAGCTACATCCTACAAATTTTTATATATTCATTCATTTAAAAGCATTTTCAAATTTCCTCATTACTTATTCTTAAACCTATGGCTCATTTAGGGGAGTTATTAATTTCCATATATTTGGGGACTTTTCAGATGTTAGCGATTTCTAATTTCTGTTTTGGTGATAGAACATGCCTTGCATGATGTCTATCTTCTAAATCTTTTAAAAAATACTTTTTTTGATTTTTTTTTTTAACATGGAAAAACAGAGAGGGAGAGAAACACCAATTTGTTGCCTCTTGCATACACCCTGACCAGGGATCAAACCTGCAACCCGGTATGTGCCCTGACTGGGAAATCGAACCAGCACTTGGGAGGACTCTCAATCAACTGAGCCACACCGGCCAGGGCTCCTCTTTTAAATCATCTGAAACTTGTTTTATAGCCCATAAAATGTCAACTTGAAAAGAATATGTATTGTGCTGTTGTTTGGGTGGAGTGTTCTAGAAACATCAATTAGTCAAGTTAATATATCTTTACTGACTTTCTATCCATTTGTGCTATGGATTACTTAGATATTGAAATATATAATTAAAAATGTGCCAATATCCATTTCAATTTTACCCATTTTTATTTTATGAATTTCAAACTTCTGTTATAAGTGTATTGGAGCTAGAAGATAGTTGCTTTGCTGTTGAATTCTCAGATACTCAGATATAGAAGTCTCTCCCTTGGGGCCAATTTCTACAGAGAATTAACTCCTCATCTCTTGCTGGAGGGTAAATCCCTGGTGGACAGTGCACTGGGGTTGGGGAAAAGATGGTATGTATGTATGTATGTATGAAATGAGAGGAATGTTCCATAGACAACTGGCATTTTCACTGCTTTCCCTCTATGTCTCTCCCATTCTCATTAGGCATTTCTGAACCTGCAGCCAAACTGGTTTCTTCTTATCCTTATCTTCATATGCGAGCAGTATAAATGGTGTCAGCTTCTGATCCAATAGCTACCCTCCTTCCGTCTTTCAAATTTTAGTTGAGATCTCGTTTGCTGATGGTCTTTCTCCTCTTCTCTTTATTGCTGTGGTTTCATAAATTAAAAACTTATTCCCTAGCATTTTAATTGCTGTCCAGGGGGATCGGACATTTAACAAAAGCACATTTCCTAGTCCTTTCTCTGCTAGCCATTTTGTTCAGTTGACCAAACCCTGACATTTCTGTTACCCCCAGTGATCGGCTGCTACATGCTTCCTATGTATTAGTTTTTCCAAGTTCTACCTCTTGTACCTACTTGTTGGTATCACCTGCTCTCAGGTACCAACTAAGTGACACTGTTACTCTGATGACTGCATGTTTCTTTGGATTTTCCCTTGCTTTCATTACCTAGGGTTCAGCCTTGCACTCCATGCTGTTATGAACCTTTTTCACCAATTAAAGTACAATGAGGAAAGCTATGGGAGCTGCAAAAGTGAACTTCTATGTTTCTTGCTGTCAGTGTGGGGCATGGGGAAAGAAGTAACAAGATTCTAATTTGGAACTGTGACTACAAGTAGTGATCATATATTCACCAGTATTTTGACCTGACGATATTAATCCATATAGAAAGCAACTACCACCATTGAATTGGTAAGAATTTTAAGAACTGTAAAAGCTGTCTCAAGTACTCAATAAATAATAATCTGTAACCTAGATCCTTTGCTAAATTAGTGAATTATTAATTTAATATAATGATTACCAAGACTGATACTGTTGTGTTTAACTAGTTACAAATAGCTGGGAAGGAGCAAAGGGAAGGCCAAATATTATGCCATTTGTGCAGCTTTGCCAGGAAGCTGCAGTTTAACACTCTCCAGGTCTGTTCCCCACAGATGCTGGGGGAAGGGACTGGACAAAGAAAGAATAGACACCTGCCCAGTAAAGTCTGGGTGACATAGGGAAGGTACTTGCCTGTCAGCCACACCTGGGAACAGATCATTGACCAGAGTAGGCAAAGCCACTGCAAGTGCAGGAAGATTTGATACTTAAGCCCCTAAACAAAGGCGTTTACTCTCTTGCTTCTTGCATTCCTGACTGAAGGACTCTCACACTCCTGCATCTGCCCACGTGCCCCATGGCCATGTGGACCCTACACACAATGGACTAATGGATTGCGACTAACTTAATGCTAAACCAGACCCAGCTCCACCATGGAAAAGAAACTTTGGACTCTTGCTTTGCTTCTAGCTCTGCTGAATCCCCAGCTGCACCTCTTCTAGCACCAGATTAAGGGAAATGGGACTTTGGAACCCAAGGGATGCAATCCCACACAAATACAGCTTCCTACCACATCTCATCCTCCTGTGGGGGCCTCCAGAAATGCTTACTCCAGTGGTACCCCAAGAACCCCTTTCACTGGCATTGGAGAAAGACCATCCACTCATTTCTCTGATAACAAGACTACCCAAAGGCCCTGTTCAAAATAAAAAAGTAATGGTAAAGCATCAAGCCTAGGACAAACCTTGAACTCTGAAAAGGAGTTTTCGGCAATTCTAATAAAAAATCAACCAGAAGCCCCCCCTCCCCCAATCCTTGGCATTTTGCGATCTGATGAAATGTGACAGATCTTGTTCTTTCTGCATTTTTATGCACAAGTTCCTCTTTTTCTAATATATTTGCTTACCCAAACCTCCTTCCCATAATCAGTGAAATGCTCCCCCCCCAATGGCTGATCACATTTCAATTGTATTAAGGAAGGTAATGTTGAAAAGAGAACAGTAAAAACCAAATAGTTAAAGACATTGATAATTCAAGGTATGTATAAAAGGAAATGTAGAAAAAAAGGCTATTTTATACCCACTTGAGACTTTGGGTATAAAAGCTCAGTCATTACCCTAATCATTACCTTGGGTTAGAGTCAAATATTCTGGACTATCTCTTGAAGTAGGGTAAATGTCTTAATCTGTCACCCTCCTTCATTCCTTATTCAAGATTTGCTGTTTCCCCTAAATTAATGTATACCTTTCCTGTTACTTATGTCCAGTTAACTGTGTTAGGTTACCTTTGGCTGGATATGTTACAATCTCACCTTCTCAGGCTAATAAAGCATCCACATTTTCCTATATATTTTTCACATATGAATACTAGTCATTAGAGAAAAATAGATATGGAACACTGGGCAGCATCTGGGGCACTGCTTGAGGAATCATTAACCATCATTTAGAAATTCAGAGCTGCAATGAAGAACTCATTTATAGTAACTCCCGATTTAGTTATGTATTTACAATCCCTTTTCTACTCTCAACTGTTGCAAGAGCTTCTTATATTAACTCCTGGAGGATGAATGTCTAACTTTTTCAGGTGTCCTACCTCCACACCCAACCCCACCCACATCCCAAGTGGATTATATGATACAGTGCATATTTTAGATCTTATCTTCTCAAACATGCTCTCCAAATATGGCTTAGAATTTTTATACAGCTATTTTTATATGAAGTCCTTTGGGCCAAATATAAAAATTATTTAAAAAATCCTCACCCAAGGATATTTTTCCATTTATTTTCAGATAGAGTGGGAGGAAGGAGGAAGGGAAAGAGAAACATGAATGTGAGAGAAACACATTGATTGGCTGCCTCCCACATGGCCCCAACCAGGGCTGGGGATCAAACCACAACTAAGGTATATGCCCTTGACTGGAATCCAATCTGTGACTCTTTGGTCTGTGGGCCGATGCTCTAACCACTGAGCAAAACTGGCCAGGGCTAAAAATAATTTTATTAATATGAAATGTCTGCAGTGAAGTCTAAAGAGGCTAGAGATGCTGCAAAAACAAATGACTTTTTTGGGGGTGGGGGTGGGGGGTTAAATCAGATATTAAAACAGATAAGCCTGAAGAGACAAATATCAGAAACTTTCTTTCCTGATTCCTTTGTTTTTGCTTAGTACAGAACATGGGTGGTCAAGAATATTAAGGAATCAAGAGATGGAAATGTTGAGAAAGGAACTGAATTAATTTAAATATGTTTCAATGTCGAGTAGCACAGCTGAAGCATGCTGGGCCGATAAATGTGTTTCACCTTCATTTGAAATATTTCAACATGGTGTATGTAACCTACTTGGCTTTAGTGTGGGGGAGTCATGAGAAGGCAAGATCTGGAAGAACCCCAATAAATGAGCTGCATTCATGAAAAGGAACTACAGTACTTATATAAGTGCCTAAGCTACTGCTTTGTGGAGGGGGGTTCAACATCTGTAAAATGGTGTATGGGATGTACTACACAAAGAGGTTTTCTCCACCTTCTTCTTGTGTGGCCACAGACTGTTGTGTGTTTTTGCAATATACACAACAAATATCCATGCCCATTATATCTCCATCATGCCCATTATATCTCCAACCACTCCTTGGCTTAAAACTAATATATTATAAAATTATAGTTTATTCAGGGCTACTCAGGCTGGCAAGAAATATGAAAAACACAAGGCACATGATTTGAAGAGAAATCAGTGCTCTGATTTCTCAGATTGTGAACAAAGGGAAACATGTTGTGCTGGGTAAATGTAATGTCCTTGCAGTTATAAATGCTGGGTAGGGCATATAATTCTAATAACACTGGCTGATCTATAGTATACAGCTGTTTTCACTCTAGCCATCTAAGGAATTGGAACAAGCAATTCATTTTATAGCATAATAAAGTTCTTGGCACTTAAATAATTTAAATGAGTGGATTCTTTTCAGTAAGGGAACATATCTTAATAACGCATTATCTTTCTCTTTCATAGAATATAAAAGTAAGAGTGATGTTAAAACTATTTAAGTCTTTAGAGCACGAGCATATAATTGAAGAGCTCATTAACAGGGATCTTTCCTGTGAACCCGCTGGTGGATGTGGAGGTTGGAGCTCTGGCTGAAGCCCTTCCCACACTTGCTGCACTCATAGGGCTTTTCTCCAGTATGTACTCTCTGGTGGATGAGGAGTTTTGAGCTCTGGCTAAATCCCTTCCCACACTTGCCGCAGTGATAGGGCTTCTCCCCAGTATGAACTCTGAGATGGATGCGGAGATCTGAGCTCTGGCTGAAGCCCTTCCCACACTCATAGCATTGGTAAGGCTTCTCCCCTGTGTGTATGCACCGGTGAATGTGAAGGTTCGAACTCTGACTGAAGCCCTTCCCGCACTCTCCGCATTTGTAGGGCCTCTCTCCCGTGTGGACTCGCTGGTGAATGTGCAGGTTAGAGCGCTGACTGAAGCTCATTCCACACTCCTCACACTCATAGGGCTTCTCGCCGGTGTGCACTCGCTGGTGGATATGCAGTTTGGAACTCTGACTAAAGCCCTTCCCACACTTGTCACATTTATACGGTCTCTCGCCTGTATGGACGGCGTGATGAATGAGCAGACTTGAACTCCTTGTGAAGCCCTTCCCACACTTGTCACATTTATAAGGTTTCTCATCAGTGTGGATTGCTTGATGGATGAGGAGACTTGAGCTCCTTGCAAAGCCCTTTCCACACTGCTCACATTTGTAGGGCTTTTCTTCTTTGTGGTCTCTCTGATGAAGTAGTAGTTCTGAGCTGTCACTGAAATCCTTACCACACCAACTGCATCGGTATTGTTTCTCTGCAATGCGTCTTTTCTCACGTGGATGACTATCTGGGCTGGTATTAGGTATTTTGCCAGAGTCAGAATGATTACAGGGATGCTCCTTGGTATGAGCTCTCTGATGACCGATCACCCGTGACTTCCAACCATAAGTGCTGCTACAGTCACAGTCAAAGGGATCCAAGGATTCTTTCAATTGGCTATTCTGGCAAATAGCTTCGCTACTGAACAATGGTGAGACCAGCTCTATTACATCAGACACAAGTCTAATATGAAGGGTCTCTGAACAACGGTCTGTGGGAGGACTTTTCCCTCCCAGTGCTTTTCTCTCGGTGCTTTCTTCAGTTACAAACAGACTTTTGCTTTCCTGAGGATCCTGGGGCTCATTCTTACAAAATGTCACTGAGGAGTCCTGTGTGGCCATTTGGCTAGGAACTTTCAAAGACAAATATTCTTTACTTTCCATGTTTTGTAAATCATGACTTTGAAGGGTCATGCCATTGCTCTTGTTTCTGGAAATGTGAGAAGAGGCTTCTCCCCACTTTTGACACAGAGAAAGATCTAGTTCAGGGTTCCTGTACACTTCTCCTTGAAGATTCACAGTATAACTCTGACTCCCAGTTACTGACTGGTCTTTTCTTCCCAAACTAGCCAGCAGAAAAGCTTTTCATGTAATAGAGCCCTAAGTCCTTTCTCTTGAAGATTCTCTACAGAATTTTCATTCAAGTCTCCTAGGAAACAAAGAAAAATCAGTGACAAAAACAAAGAATAGATTTCAAGATTTCAGAACTGTAATGACTAAGTCCTGAAGATTTAGTAACTAGGAAAAAATTCAATCTTATCTTTCTAGTCATGTTCTTTGTTTTTTGTTACATGCCCCTAGTGGGAACCGAACCTGGGACTCTGATCTCCAGGCCGACGCTCCAACTGCTGAGCCAAACCGGCCAGGGCTAGTCACGTTCTTTGGGTTGATGTCAGAGAGAAGGCTTTGTCCACAAGACAAAAATCTTCTCTCTGCTTTTAAGCATAGCCAATAAAAGTATTCCTCCCCTAACTGCAGAAGGCTATGAATCCCACATCCTTGCCACAAATTATATTTCATTTCACTTCATTTTAAGTAAATTTCCATTTAATTGGTAATCCACTTTAATAATGCTGAGGACACACAAAAGAAAACAAATCTTTGTTTTTTTTAAATCCTCACCCGAGGATATTTTTCCATTTATCTTTAGATAGAGTAGGAGAGAGGAAGGGAAAGGGATGGAGGTAAGGAGGGAGGGAGGAAGAGAGAGAAAAACATTGACCTGAGAGAGACACATCGATTGGTTGCCTCTCACACGACCCCGACCAGGGCGGGGGACTAAACTGCAACTGAGGTACGTGTCCTTGACCAGAATAGAACCTGAGACTCTTTGGTCTGTGGACTGATGCTTAATTCACTGAGCCAAACCAGCCAGGGCAGAAAACAAATCTTTTAAATTAACAGGCTAGGGCATACTGGGAAGAAAGACAACTATATCAACAATGATAACAGCACATTAGTGCTACAGTAGATGCAGGTACAGCTGGGCATGGGAGCACAGAGTAAGGGCATTTGACCCAAACCTGGGGGCAAATGTAAGGAAACCAAAACAAAAAAAATAAAACGTGGAGAGAAAATATGACATATTCAGGAGAACTATAAACTGCCTCTTGTGAAGAACATAAGGCAGGTAACAGTGGTAAAAAGTGCACCCAGGAGAAGGCAGGAGCCAGACCAAAGGGCTTGTTGTTACTACTAAGGGTTAGGGCTAAAACCCTCAGGGATTTAAAGCTGTTAAAGGATTTCAACAGAGAATGGATCGATTGACTTGGTCATCAGAAATGAGCAAGACGTCAGGTAGAAAGACAACTACTGTAGCAAAACTAGAAGAAAAGTGGTACGGGTGATGGAGAGAAGTGGACAGAGACAGTCTAAATCATGTGAGGACTAACTAGAAGGGAAAGTGGCACCAAGCATGACCCCCAAGTTCCTTGCTTGAGTGACTAGGTTTAGGGGTACTATGTAATAAGATAGGGAAAAGGCTGGAGTGGAGGAGAAAAACAGATGACAAGCTCTAAATTTAATGTTTAATTGGTGGTGCTGGTAGAATCTCCTGACTTCTTACTATTCAGTAAGCAGTGAGATCTATGGGTTTGGAACTTCTGAGGGAGAACTATGCTAAAAATTTTAGACTTACTAATATATATGTTGCTCAAAACAATGACAGTGAATATCCTAATATTACACTGAAATGACAAAAAAAGAAATCTACATGTCTTGAAAAAAAAAAGGAAAGGTTGTCATCACCGGAATAAAAATGTTGAGGAACTTCTAGATGATAAAGAGCAGATGTATTAGGAATGGTGGAGAAACTAGAAAACAAAATTACACAGTTCAAATCATGTACACGAGATCTCTCCCCCAAATCCCAGAGATTCAAATAATTCAAATTCTAACCTCAGAATCAATGATTATAAACTAAGAGGAGTTTATCCTGGAAATCCAGGTTAATCCGTGTTCAGCATTTCTGATGGTTAGACTAGTTGTTGCCATTACTAGCACCACACAAAGTCTCAAGAACAAAATAAATGGTCTGCTAAAGAAAGACTCCTAAAAGTATTAGTTGGGCTGAAAGGAGAAGCAGAAGTTGAGGTATGTAATGCTGAACCTGTTCAATAACAGAGTTGATTAAAGTACAAAAAGAAGCAATTGACTCCACAGGTGCCCACGATAAAGCCTCAAGGTAATCCCTGAAGTGGGATTTCTGACAAGGGAGATAACCCAGAGCTGGAGATCTAAGCATGGCATGCCCAGATAACTTATTTGTCTGAAAAGGAACCCTAGAAAAAGGAGTCTACACCGCCCACCCTCTGGAGTCTTATATCCATCCCAAGCCCCATGAGTAGAGGCATCCCTTGTAAGTAGAACCTAGATGCACCAAAGAGGGTTGGGTGTCAGCTGAGAATGCACACTCCAGAATTATACTGTGAACACAAGACTTCTGTAAAATAAAATGTGACAATAAGAAAATGTAAGCAGACAAAAAAAGCAGAAACTAATTTCCATAAAGAGTGGCATAAACTCAAGAAATAGTGAATGGAGGAAACAGAATTTAAAAGGTACATAAAGTAAAATAAAACAAAAAAGGTACATAATAAAATACCAGAGAAATCTGAGGATATCACATCTAGAAACACAACATAATTTATTTATTTATCTTTGGTTAATCCTCACCCAAGAATAGTTTTCCATTGACTTTTAAGACAAAATGGAAGGCCATGGCTGGTTTGGCTCAGCGGTTAGAGCGTCGGCCTGCAGACCAGAGAGTCCTGGGATTGGTTCCCACTAAGGGCACCTACCTTGGTTGCGGTTCTTCCCCCGCCCTGGTTGGGGTTGTGTGGGTGGCAACCAGTGGATGTGTCTCTCTCACATCAATGTTTCTCTCTCTCTTTTCCTCTGTCTCTCCCTCCCACTCTATCTGAAGATAAATGTAAAAATGTCCTAGGGTGAGGATAAAAAAAAAAAGAATGGAAGGGAGGAAGGGAGGGAGAGAGAGAAACATCAACTGGTTGCCTCCCATATGACCCCAAATAGGGTCGGGGATCAAACCTGCAACCCAGGTACGTGCCCTTGACAGGGAATCAAACTGTGACCCTTCAGTCCACAGGCTGATGATGCTCTAATCGCTGAGCCAAACCGACTGGGGCCAGAGAAACAACATAATTTAATAAAATATAAACACATTGCTATGAAAAATAATCAGAATTCTTTCAAATTAATAAAAGGATTGAGAAAACATGACAATCATAATAATTAGGAGCTACTGTACCCATTTGAAGCACTCAGGCACTAGCTGCACAATTGATGTGACAGGAACTACGAGGACACCATTCTCCACATGAGGAAACCAAGGTTGTGATGGGTAAGTAACTAAGAGCCAGGCAGTCTGAGTCTAAGGCCTGATGGGCTAAACAGCAAAATGAACACACAACTGAGGTGGAAGACTGAGGGGCTCTCCTAGAATGCAGAATAAAAGGACAGACAGATGGAAAGATAAAAGTAGACACACATCTTGTAGGAGTTCTATGAATATAGTAGAGGTAGAATAAAGGGAAAGAAACAATTATGAAACAATAGAAAAACAAACAAAGCATTTCTTAGAACTCAAGATTCAGGGCCCAGTGAATGGTAAAAATGGTAACAGGTACATGAAACCTCAGAACTTCAAGGAAAAAAGAAATCTTAGAAAATGCTAAAAGCATCCAGACAGAAAAACTAGGTTATGTGCAAGTAAATGAGAATGATAATGACATTGAATTATTAATCAGCAATACTGGACACCTGAAGATAATTGAAAATATATTCTAATTTTGGAGGAAGAGTGATTGTGAAATTAGTATTCCATTCTATGCCCAACAAACCAACCATTTCAGGGAAAGGAATATACACTTATGCAGACAAGAAAGGATTTAAGTAATTACTGAAATAATTATTCAGAAATGTACTATAGCAAAAAATGTTTTTTAAATTGCTTCATGAAACAAGAAATAGCAATAGAGAAAAAAAGAAATAGCAATGAGCAAAGAAGTCAATAAAACAAAATTAAATTGAATTAATTATTGATACATAAAAGAAATTATAATTAACCAATACCCTATAACATAGTATGGAATTATCCCCCACCCCCTCCAAAAGCAAGTACTAGCTTTAGGAAAGAAGAAAAAAAGAACTGTAGCCCTGGCCGGTTTGGCTCAGCGGTTAGAGCGTCGGCCTGCGGTCCTGAGAGACCCGGGTTCGGTTCCCGCTAAGGGCACGTACCTCGGTTGCAGTTTGTCCCCGGCCCTGGTCGGTTGTGCGGGTGGCAGCCACTCGATGTGTTCCTTTCACATTGATGTTTCTCTCTCTCTCTCTGTTTCTCTCTCTCCCTCCCACTCTACCTGAACAAAAAATGGAAAAATGTCCTCAGGTGAGGATAAAAAAAAGAACTGTAATCATAGTATAGTATACTACTTGACTCTGCAGGGCATAAGAATTACGAAGTCAAAGCAATATAAGCATTAATCACTGATGCAACTTACATAAATTCTTAAAAAGATGGGCAGGTTGGGAAAGTAATGAAAAAGAGCTAAATCTTCATTTATGTTGTAAGGAAGTCAATTGAAAATATCAAATATTGATAAACTGAACTAAAAATAGTAGTATATCCTAACATAATATATTCAAATTAAAACTATACTGAGGTACCAATTTCTTCCTGTTACATCGGCAAAACCTTAAAGCCTGAAGTACACACTGTTTCTAAATGTAAATTGGTATCAACCCCTCCCCCTCCAACAAGGACATTTTGACAATTACAGATCAAAATCACAAATGTATGCACTCAGCATTCTAGTTTAGTGGTTTCATAATTCAGATTTACAGGCACAGTTGTGAAATAATATTTGTACAAGATTTACTCATTGAAGATGGTCTGTGATAGCAATTGACCAGAACCTGGGTAGAGTGGAGTTGGTGACATGAAAGAAAGTTTTCATTGTGCATGTTTTTTCTTTTTTTTTAAACACTCACCCAAGGATATTACTTTCCACTGAGTTTTAGAGAGGGTAGAAGGGAGAAAGGAGGAGG